AAGTGTGGAGGACCTGGTGAGACACTGTAGGACGAATGGGACACTGCTGTTCATCGGGTGTGGTGATCCGAATGCTCACCACACAATCTGGGGAAGTGCAAACATCAACGATAGAGGTGAGTCTTTAATACAGTATATTATAGCAAACAATTTACATATAGTAGATGTAGGAAATGAACCTATCTTTGTTAATTCAACTAGGAAGGAGGTAATCAATGTGACACTAACCTCAAATCATATGAGTAATTACGTCACAAACACAATACAGACAACGCTGGCTAGGAGTTAAATTCTTATCAAAAATTCAAAACCTGTACAATGTACAATCACACCTTAATACCCATAATAAAAGCTATTAAAATTCACCATATGCTAAATGCTGACTATTGGAGAAGAAAAGACATTCTTCATCTGGTTGGAGCACTGGACTACTGGACTACTACTTTTCATACAGAAACAGTATGGAAAAATTAGACAAGCTGCCTTGCTACGATGGGGAACTTGGAACCCAACTGAAAAAAATAAAAATATTGAACCTAAACCTGAAAAAAGATGACCAATTTGTCAACACCTTATTCCTCAATAACACGGAGAAATATCAAAAGTAACCTTCATTTATACGGACGGATCTAAAAAAGACAACAAAACAGGGTATGGTATTCACTGCCCTAAAACAAGACACAACTTCAGCTGCCAAACGAACTAGACATATGCTCGGCAGAAATAGCAGCTATCAATGAAGCAGTTGCATACTCCTTGAAGAAAAACATAAAGAAGGTCATAATAATGTCAGATTCTAGTAGCGCCATCTCAAAACTAGGACAAAACTTCTTAAGACATTAATAATAAAAGCAAATGAAATGAAATGGGCTATGACATCAAACTATCCTGGATCCCGGGGCATGCAAACATAACTGGCAACGAAATGGCAGACAAACTGGCATACATAGGCAGAAAGTTAACAAAACCAAAAAATATACCTTTAAACAAAAACCACATGATGGTTGCAATAAGGAAGAAACATGACTTGGCACGAGAGCACAACATAAATAATTCGTCAACTTCAATCAGTTCACTGTAATCACAAAATGTTTATTGATCCTTGAAAGTTATTTTATTTATTGAGAGTTGACAATTTTAGCACTTTTCTGCGGAAGTCTGTAAGCCATATATATGTGCAAGAAAAGTCGTTATATACCGATGCCCAGTTTCTATATACAAATGTAAAAAATGTTAATTTCATCAGTGTGAAAACCAAATTTCTGCACTAAAGGTTAGAAACACTTCAATTTATAGTGCATTTCAAGCGAATCACTAATCAGTATTTATTGTTCGACTGTTAGAGAAATTGTAACGGTCTTACTTGCTTAATCCGGTTCATGCAGATAAATCCACAAGGCGATTATTTATCGATTTATCACCACTATTCACAATGGCAGCTAGGCAATTTTCCACTGAGATGAAAAGGAAACAATGATATACAGGTGCGTTGGAGCCCGTCGAGAGTGAGAGAGATAGAGCCAAAAACAAGCGTAGGACAGAATTTTGCTCGTCCGAGGTGACTTGCAACAATAAGGGGTTAATTACATGAATTGTAATCAATAATATAGACCATATCAAGCCTTGAGACACAGAGAGTAGTATTTTACTATAAATCGGGCGTACTAACGGGGGTTTTTGGGGGTTTTGCTCCTGGAGAGCATTCAGAGGGCGCGAGGGTGCGAACTCTTCGCTTGTTCTAATAGTACTGACGATTGAGAAATGTGCGTCGACTAGCTCTGCCAGGGAGCAGGTCTCAAAAAACTAGGGGTTTTGTGCGACGGCTGACCAATCACACGGCGAGAAAGGTACACTGCCTTATAAGGTCATAAAGAAATCTGTAATTTTACCGGTTCAAAGGGTTGCTGTTGCCGATTTTACAGGCATCTTTTTTTAGAATATTATTTTTATGGTAAACTAGCTTATGACTCGCTGCGTTGCCAGCATGTAAATACATTTTGAAATAATACACTTCTTTTCAAATTTTGTTGTTGATTTTCTATTTAATTATTTTTTTTTAATCCGATATCATAGTCGGTTGCCAGTGAGTTCAGTGACGCATTTTAGGCACTCCGGAGCTGCTCTAGAGCGCCCCGGGCTGTTTATAGGCGTTCCAGTGTATCAGAATTTTACGCAACCGAACTTTTTTTTTTGGGATAAAAAATAGCCTATATCACTCTCCTCTATAGCCGATTCGATTGACCGGATTAGATCGATCTGGTTCAATTTAAGTGAACCACACTGTGTTCGATTCAAGCTGGATCAGTGCACCCTCATCAACAAAAAAATGATCTAGATCAGAAGAAGTTCACTTAAATTGAACCCAAATCGATCTAATCTGGGTCAATCGAATTCACCTTATATAGAGATACGTGGTATTAATTCAAGATCGGTCCAGCCGTTCTTGAATTCAAAAAAAAATAAAGTTACGTCGGTTGAATGCAAGCCTAAATAAATAAAATATGGCAACGTTGTTTCATGCTGTCAAAAAAAGTTAGATTATGTTGTTATGTTCCGAGATGCGTAACCTATCCAGAAACCTTCCTTGGGATGGCCATAACAACCTACCAAAGTTTCATCGTAATCGGATAAGTGGTTTTGGAGCGCATATCCGGATACCCCGCGAACTTTGATTTTTATATATATAGATAAAGATAATAGAGAGGAAAATTATATTAAATTAGAAATAACAAAATTTAAACTTGTTGTGGGTTATTTACGCAACAACTGTTTAACAGGAAAATAACTTCACATGATGGGAGAAGCGCCGAACTGTGAGTGTGGGCAAATTGATGACCTCAACCACACTCAATCAAATTCCCAATCTGGATCTTTATAATAGCCTTATAAAGGAAAACATAGAAGCACCACTCTCTATAGCCACGGTATCAAGTAAACTGAATCCAAACATAATGAAACTAATAATTCAATTTCTCAGTCATAATTGCATAAAACTATTAAAACAAAATCACACGTCATGTCATTGACCGTCCACCACACAAGGAAGCAGCAGACAAACTTTCAAACACTTCATCGCCACAATAATCAAATCATACACAAAAATCGGCCGATAATAATCTTGATTTTCCTTTCAGGATCAGAAATCCCCATTGTGTTGTCATCCTGTGTTGTATTTGTCTTATTAACCTACTCACCACTGAAGAAAGAAGAAAAAACAAGTAGTACAGAACTCAGTTCACAGTGAAATTATGTACATTACAGTTATATATATATATATATATATATATATATATCTTGTCTTAAAAAACAAAAAGTTTAAATTATTGTGCCTGGAATATGGCCTAGAGCCAGACGATCTCTGGTCACACATAAATGTGCTGGCAAATTGCTCTTCAGGAAGCAGAAGCCAAAATTAAAGAAGAAGAAGAAGAAGAAGAAAAATTACGTCACAAACTGGCATATATCTGATGAGGCAAGTTGCTCGGATCACAGATACATCAAATTTGAAATTTCAGGGGAAACAACTTCAGTAAAATATCGAAACCCTCGAAATACAGACTGGGACGCATACAAAGCTGACCTGGAGTACAGTCTGCCGAACATCGGAAAAACAATAAGAGTGAAGACTTGAGAATGGTTGTGGATCAATTCAATGATACAATCATCCCAGCCTCCAATGAAAATTGCCCATTTACAACAGGGACATCCACCAGGAAAGTGCCCTGGGCCATGGACCCTTATTCTTGGAACAGGGGAGCAGCGTTCCTAGGAGAACGAGTATTCCGTCTTTCTCAATGATATCCAAATGATAATATAACCAACAAAGACGGAAAACTCGTTCTCCTGGGAACGCTGCTCCCCTGTTTCCAGGATAAGGACCCTGGTGGAACAAGAGCCTTGCAAAAAACTAGAACCGTGGAAAACATACAAAAACACGTTGAAAGAGTTCAAGAAAGAGCTGAGGGAATCCCAGAGGAGTTCTTGGAGGAAGAACTGTGAGGATATAGAAAGTATTCAAGATTGTGCTATATTAAAAAGAACTCTGTCCCTCTGTACCCAGCCATACCTTCTCAGGCTTCAGTGTTGCATGGAGACAATAAGTCGGACAGGCCTGGAACAAGGGGAAAAAAATTATACAATTAGAGATATGATTTTTCATCTATTTTTGTACAAAAATGTTGAAATTTCAATTTTTCCATATTGAGATTTTCATTCATATAATTTTCTTGACTTCTGTTTCGGCTTAAAATATTGGGAGAAAATAGAAAAATGAGATACTCAGATCCCTGATGATCAGAAGAAAATTCATTTCAGCATAAGAGAATCAGAAAACATCATTGTAGACTTTTTTTTTAAACTTGCTGCATTATTTGCATTCAAAAATTTTACGACGCAATAATTCGAAATACATAATTAAGAATTTGTTGCTGTTTACCTTATTCATTCCTATTTAAAATAGGTATTTAACAACTTTAATTGTACATTTTAATTTTTAATGTATTCTTCTAACTATTATAATTTGTGGTATTGTTGATTAATATTCTACCCAGGGATATTAACTAAATTAAAAACTGCCACAGCAGAACCAATTTTAATTTATTGTTTTTCAGAGAACAATAACAAATTAATTCAAATCTAAATAGCTAATAGCTGGAAACTGGTAGCTAAAAAATATAAAGCAGGATGTACATATTATCATTAGTACCAAATCTAGTTTAAAACTTAAAAGTAGGTATTTATGGGTTCAGTTCTACCTCCTGGTTCTTGTTGCTATTTTTCTTTTTTTTTTGCATTTACATAACGGTAGCTATAGTCTTGCAAAAATGTAAATGCTACGTCACTGACATGCAATAAACAAAATAAAACCGGAATTTTTAAACAATTTCATCCTACAACTACATAGATTTAATTAAATTGGAAATCCCCCCCAATTATAATACATATACTATTCTACACCACTGTCAAGGACAAACAAATAAGCACAAACAAACTCATGGGTCAGTAGCTGACCTAGCGCCAAATAGATAGGATATAGATTTAACAACAAAATAAATTAATAATAATTATTCTTCGCCACATAAGAATCAGTGCGCACGTAAAATTTTTGCTGCTGCAGGTCGTTGGATGTCATAAGGAGGATTATATTCAAGGAGTACCACTTTGGTGGTTCGGCTGGTCATCATCTTCGCAGTTAACGAACATTGATAGTCGAACAGTCCAGCGGGTACCGGTATTTACCCATAAGTGAAAAAGAGCTGCAAGGTAATATATATTTATTTATTTTTTTTTGGTTTAGACTTATATAATGAATCTAAACCAACGGGTATAGTACCTACGTCATCAGATATTTTTTATTGAATTATTTTATAGATAATTAATATTGATTTTTCTTCTATATTTGTCGCACTGAAATTGAAAATAAATAAAAATACCTAATGATGAAAGCTTTAAAACTATTTTAATTTGTACTTAATGAGGCCTATTTAAAACTCCATTAAGTACTTTTGGATTTACCATTTCAGTTAACATTATAACTTATTCAGTGGTTATTTTATTTTTAGATCCAAAACCATTCAACAATGATCCTCCGGTTATCAGCTTTTCTTGTTCTAAGTTGCCTCACTCTAGTAAAATCTCAACCAGCAGCTCAAGGTGGCTCAAGTTTAAGTGATCTCTTAAGCCAAGCAAAAGGAGAAAAAAGTAAGTGTATACGCCATTATTCAAGCAACAATGAAGTCGTAGGTACTAAGGGCCTTTGCTTTAACTCTGTTGTTCACCGAACTTAAAAATGACCAAATAAGACTAATAATTGAATACCGCATAGGCACATTATGGTAAATATTAATGACCTTTGTAACCCTAGTCGCATGTCATATGAAATTAGTCAAAAACCTAATTATTTTCTCAGTTGAATATTGGTTGTTAATCGGAACTATAGTAGTAAAAAGAAAAAGGTATCTAAATTACTCTGTGGTTCAAATATTGCTACCCAGTAAACACATATCTGTGAGATTTACATAACATCTATATAAATTTGAGATATTTTTTTTTTACCAGCATTAGTTTCACGTCATGTTCAAAGTCAAATATATTCTGTTGTAAGTCAAATTTTTTGCTAGTTGTTATGTGGAAGTAAATAGAAATGAGGATAAAAATTAAATTATTCGACATTTACGTAAATTAAAGTCACATTTATGTAACATTTATGCGATAATAACTTTTATATAACATTTATGTAGGTTTTTAATATAAGTATTAACATGAATCTTATGTGATTATGTGAATACCTACTAATAATATTAATGTAAAATTCACTGAACCAGGAAACTATTGGATAAGTACCTAAAGTTCATTTCACGAGACGAGATAGTGAAAGTAAACAAACTTTGACAGGTAAGTCAAATTTTATTGGCTAGAAAAGGATTATACTCCGCCCCAGACAGGACCGTCTTTAGGTTGTTTTGTATTTGCATTCTCTGAATATCTTTATTTTTGGTCTTCAGCGAAATCTGTAGAACTTGACATTGTTTTAATCTAAATTGCTCACTAATTGAAAATAATTCACCAAACACTATTTAAATAATTGTAAAATATCCCTCGTTTTTATTCTCATAGGTGACTTCACCGATGAGTTAGCTATCCTTGTTTAGTGAATGGAAAATGACGATGACGGCCATAGAATGGTGGATCCATCGGTAAAATTTGATGAGAATAAAAACGCAGGGATACTAGGAAATGCGACACCAAAACCTATTGACTCTTATGACAACCTGACAATAATAAGTGCCATTAATTGGTTGTAATTCATATTTTTGCAGTACTTCTCTGAATTTTTAAGCTCCGCCTGTTTGTTTACCTCTACTATCTCGTTTCGTGGAATGAAACCCAATTCAGTAAACTAGTATTAAATAAAGAATTTCAACCTTTTTAGTGACTGTCTCAGATCTCTATTTGCATGATAAATTTGTTTTCGATTCATATGTTTCCGACCTTCTAGCGGAAACATATGAACATAAAGGTTCTCCTAATATTCCATTAATGAAAAGCTGATTTTACATTTACCTGTAAATAATCTAAATCATATTCAACAAATAGAGCTAACAGTAGTGTTTACGCAATAGTATTTGAAATTTTGTAAACTGGACTGCGTCTGGAAAATCGCGCAAACATAGAACTAGAAATGAAAATGATACCATAGGGTTGTCGAAACACACAAAAGTTATTACCACTCACCTGGGTTCTCTTATAAGCTGTGCGTATATACGGGGATCCCCTGGAAAACAGTTCTCCACAACCACTAACGTATCACCATCGACTTAAGGCACTCAAGGTCCCTTTTTAACGGCACAAGACATAGACTTTTTGAGCGTAAAACCCGGAACCGGTAAAAATGCAACGTGCATATCAAGTATCATTGATCTAGTGTGTAAATCAAAATCTTCAACGGCTGCTTCGGTCGGCGCAGGATCGTAGAAAATACACTCCTGTGTGTTTTACGCGAAATTGACATTTAAGTAATTCTTTAATAAGAATGAGAAGAAACCAAATTTGTAAATAATGATGCGTTAACAAGTAATCTGTTGCCATTTCTTGCTACTGATGCATAAACGTCATCTAACACTACACTTTGTTTATATCCTCGCGTCACTAACCGAGCTACTTTTCCATCTAGAACCTTCTTACTGAATACCCACTTCGTGTCTATAATAGTTTCTGCATTTTCTGGGGGTACTACCAAAGTCCAAGTCTTGTTTTCTTCCAAAGCGTCCAACTCTTCCTTAATAGCCTCATTCTAAGCTTGTTCCACTACTTCTGTGTGTGTTCTAAGTACTTCTTGAAATATATTTCCTACTGCCAAACCTGCAAAGAAGTTTACCTGGTCCTTGTTCTTGAATTGTTCCTTTTCTCTCTACTGTTTGAACATCTTCTTCCCTGTCACTTTCTTTGTTAACTCTTGGTCTTACTTCATTTTCTTCAATATTCTCGAAATTTTCTATAGGTATAAATTCATTGTCTAAGACCCTCTTATTTTCATCAAAAATCACATTTCTTACAGTAACAATATTTCGCTGATTTTCGTTCCACAACTCATTATCAGCATATCCTACCATTATTAAATTTCTCTGATATGGATTGTAATTTTGCCTTTCTGGTTTATTTTGGAATCAAGCTGTACACCGAAATAACTTTATTTTGTCCAATAAGTTTGGTTTCTCCTTATTTCATATATTTTCTGCAGGTGTCTTGTTATTTCTCAATGTTCTTGTCTCTGTTCTGTTAATTAAATAGGTACGTTCCAGTTCTTAGCTTCACTTCACAAATATTTCTCCAATTTTGAATCAAAAATCAAACTCCCAGCCCTTTCCATGACTGTCCTATTAAAACATTCTGCTATCCCATTCTTCTCTGGATTATAAGCTACTTACTGCTGTATTCTTATGCCCTTCTCTAAAAGCATGTGATATGTATTCACCCCCATTGTCGCACCCTAATTTCTCCATTCCTGAATTAAATTTAGCTTCAACCATAAGTTTTAAACTTTGATATCTTATTGCTCACCAAGAAAATTACACAAAAGTGTGAGAAATGGTCAATAATAGAGATAAAATATGACTTACCGTCATATGTTGTTGATGATATTGGCTCACAAATATCAGTAGACACCGTTCTACAAGATTATATTGGCTTTTCTTTCCCTCTTCTTCTTTTGACTTTACACAAACATGGAGCTGAATGTCCCATTCTTCTATGCAACAACATTTTATCTTCACTTGTCAAATTTACTGTAGACTTACATTGATTTATGTTAAAATGTAGATACATAATATAAATTTCCTTTGAACACTCCTTCAAGTATTGTAACTCAATTTCCGATAATTGTCATCTTTTTTTTAAAAAACAATACTTAATAGTTATTTATGTACCAAGGCAGTAAAGTGATACTTTATCGAACGAGTCTGAGATTATGAGTCGAGCGAGCAAAGCGAGCGAGGCGAGTAAAAGGGCAAGTTCGATAAAGACACTTTACTGACATGGTGCATACAAAACTTTATCGCCAACCGTAAAAATTGATAACCGTAAAAATTGAAGATATTATAACAACACATTTTATTATAAGAGCAAACACAGAATTCGCATATGCGGCAGGTAAAGTCAGTGACATAAAGTATTGCTTTACTTCCGGAAATCGGTATGGTAATGTATACCGCCTCTACTGACGGTTGGCGATAAAAGCCATTTTCTTCCAATTTTCTTAGAGATAAGTAATAGATTATGGAGTAAATTGTCACATACCCAAGCATCTTTCACAGTTATATGTTTACCAGTTTCGGTTTGTAATTTCAAAAGTCCCTGTGTTGTTGGTCTGATTGTTTGCCCTTGTTTAGCCACTTTTATCTTATGAAATACTTCATTATTTTCCTAAATGTATTTTCCAAATTTTTCTGTGATTATATGATTTATCAATCCATCGTCAACAACAAAATATGTATCACTTCCACTAGTGTTACATCCAAACAATCCTGTGATGATAAAAATATAATGTCTTCCACCACCGGTTCATTACTTGCTTCCCGAGATGTTTCGTGATCATTATAAGCATTATATGTGTGAGAAAAATTTCCCTTAAAACCTCCCCTATGACTAGAATGATAATTTCCATTATATTCATTGTTCCTATATTTATTTTGTGAACATTCTGCTCTTTTGTGCCCTGTCTGGTTACACAAATGACACTTGAACGGAAATTTTTCGCTCTAAATTTCCCGGGTAACTTTCAGGAGTATTTTAATTACCTCTATATATTCCAGGCTTTCTCCATCCACCTCTTGTTCCTCCTACATTAGAAGTTTGTTTTTCACAAAACTTATGTCCACTGCACTTTGATTCTAGCAAAACATGATGTCTTAAGATGCCTCTGTGCTGTGTGGGTTAGGGCTTCGTTTTTGAGATATTCTTATTTGAAGATTTTCCAAAATTTGAGACAAAGTTTCAACTTTGAGACTGATTATCTCGAAAACTCTTTGAGCTAAAAATTTGTTTCATTACATCAAGGTGATAAAAAATTTACATCTACTATCTCAGGAACTATGAGTCCAAATGAGCTTCAGGGATTGTAGTCCTCTACTGGGATAAGAATCACTTAAAATTTCAGCTTTCTATCTAAAATAGAAAAAAAGTTATGACCTTTCAAAGTTTTCCAAAATCTAAATCATCTTCTTACTAAAACGCTGAAATGTCAATTTTTTTTTTGTTGAGATTTTGTGTCCTAATGGCCCTTGGGGATCCCCCAAACTCCATACACTAAATTATTTTCAGATTTGGACCCAGATTCTATGAAAAAAGGCACTCGGAAAAATTGAAAAATTGATAAATCACCCCAAATTGCTTAACACGATTTTATCTCAGGAACTATGAGTCCAAATGAGCTGAAATTTTCAGGGATTGTAGTCCTCGACTGGGATAAGAATCGCTGAAAATTTCAGCTTTCTATCTATAATAGAAAAAAAGTTATGACCTTTCAAAGTTTTCCAAAATCTAAATCATAAGCTACCTTCTTACTGAAACGATGAAATTTCAAATTTTTTGTTGTTGAGATTTTATATCCTAATGGTCCTTTGGGATCCCCCAAACTCCATAATATACTAAATTATTCTGAGATTTGGAACCGGATTCTATGAAAAAAGGCACTCAGAAAAATTGAAAAATTGATAAACCACCCCAAATTGCTCAACACGATTTTATCTCAAGAACTATGAGTCCAAATGAGCTGAAATTTTCAGGGTTTGTAGTTTTCTACTGGGATAAGAAACACTTAAAATTTCAGCTTTCTATCTAAAATAGAAAAAAAGTTATGATGTTTCAAAGTTTTCCAAAATCTAAATCATAAGCTACCTTCTTACTAAAACGATGAAATTTCAATTTTTTTTTGTCGAGTTTTTGTATCATAATGGTCCTTTGGGATCCCCCAAACTCCATATACTAAATTATTCTGAGATTTGGAACGGGATTCTATGAAAAAAGACACTCAGAAAAATTGAAAAATTGATAAATGACCCCAAACTGCTTAACACGGTTTTATCTCAGGAACTATGGGTCCAAGTGATCTGAAATTTTCAGGGATTGTAATCCTCTACTGGGATAAGAATCGCTAAAAATTTCAGCTTTCTATCTATGATAGAGAAAAAGGTATGACCTTTCAAAGTTTTCCAAAATCTAAATTATAAGGTAGCTAGCTACCTTCTTACCAAAACGATGAATTTTCTAATTTTTTTTTCTCAAGATTTTGTATCGTTATGGTCCTTTGGGATCCCACAAACTTCATATTCATACACTAAATTATTCTGAGATATGGAACTGAATTCTATGAAAAAAGACAGAAAAATTGCAAAACTGATAAAACCACCCCAAATTGCTTAACACGATTTTTTCTCAGGAACTATGAGTCCAAATGAGCTGAAATTTTCAGGGATTGTAGTCCTCTATATTGGGATAAGAATCGCTGAAAATATCAGCTTTCTATCTATAACAGAAAAAAAGTTACCACCTTTGAAAGTTTGCCAAAATCTAAATCATAAGGTACGGCTACCTTCTTACTAAAACGATGAAATTTCAAAATTTTTTTTTGCAGAGATTTTGTATCGTAGTGGTCCTTTGAGATCCCCCAAACTCCATACACTAAATTATTCTCAGATTTGGAGCCAGATTCTATGAAAAAAGACACTCAGAAAATATGAAAAATTTATAAATCACCCCAAATTGCTTAACACGATTTTATCTCAGGAACTTAGAGTCCAACTAGGCTGAAATTTTCAGTGATTGTAGTCCCCGCTACTGACTTGAGCATGATATTATGCGTTACATTTAAGTTAAATTTCATCTTATTGTGACTTGTAATTAGGTAAGGTAGTTACGTAAATTTCTAACTTAAATTCATGTAGGTAGCTGTGTTTACTGAGCAGATTATTGTTTAGTCGCGTAATGCAACACGACAGTAAAACGTTAACAATACCGACATCGGTAACTCAGCCATAGCCAGGGTTGGATGAACCCACCGGGATACCGGGAAATTCCCGGTGGGCCGATCAGAATGTGGGCCGATCTTTAGAACAATAGAACCTTTATCAAGATACCTTTAAACGGATGATCTCCATAAGGTCTGTTCTTACAGAAATCACGAACCCAGTCAGAGCATTTTTGATTGGTGCAAATCGCCAACAAACAGTTTTCTGACTATTTACAACCAATGAAATTTGACTGGTTTGTGATTTCTGTGAGAACAGACCTTATGAAAGAAAGCACAAATAATTAATGGTCAATTCAATTCATGACGCACTGAAAAAGGAACAACGCAACATGGAAGAACTATTAGAAAGTTCTAAAAATGTCAAATGGGCAAATACAGTACTGGAAGCAAATGAAAGAAAGAAGTAACAGGGAAGGAAGCAGAGATGATAGGTACTCCTCCAGCTACTGCTATTTTTAAATTTCAGGTGTAAATACGCGATGTGGCCAATGATCACATTATAATAAAAATAGAGGCATCTCATTCAAGGCATAGAGTTTGATAGAGATATTTGTTTTGTGCTAATTTGTCATAATCAATTTTTCCGAACTAATGCCAGACGATGCTTCAAAACTTCAAATAAAATAAGGTAGGTGACTTGAAAAAACTGTGCAGTCGGAACTGTATGACCTCCCTGAATTTAACGATGAAGATGAAGATGCTAAAGGAAATGAATTAAAGTTGTTAAATGATTTAAGGTGTATGATCTCCCTGAATCAAACGATGAAGATGACGATGATGTAAATGACACAGGATTAGATACGGGGAATGGATTTGAGTGTTGTTCACATTTACGCTGCAAACAATGTTTGGTTTTGTATAAGTAAAAATACGGATTTTACATCCGTGCTTACAGACATCTTTAGGGCCTACCAGTATGTACGTCCTCACTTCAGCGTGCACACAAGTAGGGTGCGAAAAATACTTTTCAGTTTTCAACACTTCAATGCATAAAAAATCGATCAAGGAATCGACTTACAATGAAAAATTTGGATGCGTTGATGATAATAAACGAAAATATTATTAGATCACATCAAGGGGTGATGATGTATGGGCCGCTAGATTGAAATTTCCCGGCTCACTTCCAAAAGTTCGTCCAACCCTGGCCATAGCTATCAACAGCCTAATTATTATCCACCCAATTAGTGCAAAAGTGGGTCTTTTAGTCCATAATTTGTCTAACTCAAATTCGATCTAACTCTTCTCTCTTATAGGCATCCTCGATCAAAACATCCAAGACATTTTCGGCCAACCGCCCGGTACAGATTCATCAACAGCCGCACCAGCGATCAACAACAACGATGGTATTCCAGGCACTGGCAGCTGCACCTGCGTACCATACTACCTTTGCAACAACGGCAGCATCAATACTAACGGCGAAGGTATCATCGACATTAGAATCAACGACGGCCCTTGCGAAAGCTATATAGAAGTTTGCTGCAACAAAGATGACCAAGCCGATCAGCCGATAACTCCTACACCACCTCCGACAAGAGAATCTCGAGTCGGTTGCGGTTACCGTAATCCTGACGGGGTTGGGTTTAGGATAACGGGCGACAAAGAAAACGAGGCTCAATTTGCCGAGTTTCCTTGGATGGTGGCAGTGCTCAGAGAAGAAACTGTAGAAGGAAACCCTGCCAAGCTTAACGTTTATCAATGTGGAGGTGCTCTGATCCATCCGCAAATGGTTGTCACTGCTGCTCATTGCGTCAGCGGAAAAAATAAAGTTCTCAAAATCCGTGCAGGCGAATGGGACACTCAACACACCCAAGAATTATATCCTCATCAAGACAGGGAAGTGCAAAATGTCATAGTCCATCCTCAGTACTATGCAGGAGCACTCTACAATGACGTAGCTGTATTACATTTAAAAGAGCCATTTGAAATTGCTGAAAATATTGCTACCATTTGTCTGCCCCCTCAAGGAACTTTACTGGATGAAGCTAACTGCTATGCGACAGGTTGGGGCAAAGATGTCTTTGGCCAAAAAGGCAAATACCAAGTAATCTTGAAGAAAATCGATTTACCAATAGTCCCTAACAACAAATGCCAGGACCAACTGAGAACGACGAGGTTGGGCAAATTTTTCCAATTGCATCAGTCGTTTATTTGTGCTGGTGGCGTGCCAGGCAAAGACACGTGCAAAGGTGACGGAGGTAGTCCCTTGGTATGTCCAGTACAAGGACAAACGGATAGGTATTTCCAAATGGGTATAGTTGCTTGGGGTATTGGTTGCGGAGAGAACAATACGCCAGGGGTTTATGTGAATTTGCCCAAGTTCCGAGATTGGATTGATACGCAAATGAGGACTTATAATTTGGATACTAGTTATTATCAATATTGAGTACTGACATAATGTGACCGTTTATAGGATTTAAGTTCTCTAATAAATAATTTTATAAACAATAATTTGTTTGTAGTTATTTTAATAAGTCTTGGTTCACAGGGACCTCAGTCATGAAAAACCGAGCTTTAAAAGACATTTTCCAATGCTATTTCGACTGATACTTGAACTTATTGTTTTTCATCTGGGATAAGCATTTTGTTGATAGAAATCTTGCAACAAATTCCAGGTTTCAGAGTAGTCAAAGATGCCATTAATAAACATTTGATTCCATCTGAATTGAATTTCAACGCTCCCTATTCACTTATAATACGTCGTATATACATGATGTTACAAATTGGCGAGTAAGTATGGACGAAGTTTGCCCAAACCAAGTATACCGATATGTTTCGCACAGGCCACTCTTTAAAATCCCATGAGGAAATATTCGTATTATCGGGCAGGTATGATTGACACGGCCTTGGTACGCTAAAGTGTGCGTCAAGCATATACAGGGTGACAATTTGAAAAGTAGCAATCGGGAATATCTCTTAGACAAAAAATACTATCAGGAAGATCTCAAATAAGTATCGGGGTATTGGAGGGGGAACCAAAATGAGGCCCTCCTTCAAAAGGGTTTTTATTCCTCTTTAGAGGCCTGACCATTTCATTCCAGCTAGAATATAGAACAAGATCACTTGACACTTGACTCTTCATTTGGAAAACACAAAAACAATTTTTCCTGGCAAAGTTCAAGAGCATTCAGCTATTTTATTAAAGCCCCATTAGGCTGAATTCACTTGAAACCACGTTGCATAGCTGATACCCAACAGCAAATCATAATTCAACCATTTCTCGCCGGTATGCATCTAAACATTCCGGTATAGGATTCGGCCCCTAGGCATATTTCATTGGCCCGTTTGAATTCGGACCGCCAATTGATGCGGAGTGCCGAAATCGGTACTTGAATGTTGAACGGTGCTGAGCCTCAGGTCAGAATGGTCCATTAGCAACAGCCATGTGGAGTGCCGAATCTAAGGTCAAAATGTTAAACAGTGCTGAGTATCAGGTCCGAATGTTGCCATGCGTTTGACGCGGTATTTATATTAAATCAGCTGTCCACCTCTTTCGTGTTCCTCTCAGCTACAATTTTGCGGCGGATGCGGTTTATTTCGCCGTTGCTTCATGTGTTCTTGTGCTTAAACATGCGAAATGAGTTTGCGAGTTTGCCTGGATCATTTAAACACTTTCAATGTGGTGAGCAAATTTACCGAGCCAACATTTTGGAGGAAAACAATATAAAACAATGGATATAGAGTATAGTGATATAACATACACGAATTGGAATATGAAGTCAGCGAAAAATAATTATAGCAGATTCAAAATATGCAGGTTTGTGTTCAATGTCAATTCAATGACGTAGAATATAATAAGAAAGGAAAATCCAAAAACTGCTGTTGCCTGGCTTCAATTGATATTTTAATTAAACTAAGCACCACAGATACCAAAAAAAAGATAAATATATTTTCAAAATTTTCTATTCTAATTTGCGAGGTTTCAGGTTTTTATAATCCCTCCCCTGGGTCCGCCACTGCAAATTATTGTCCAAGATTTTTTGAAATGTATCGTTGAAATAAAATAAAACAAAAAGTAAATAAACTTTGTTTGTTGATTTTGTGCCGCGCTAACGGAGTAACATTCCAACCTGCAGCTGGGCACTGTTTAACATTTTGACCTTTGATTCGGCACTCCACCTAGTATATGTAAGAATAAAGCTCAAATTACGACAAAAAAATATGGTTTATTTTAGATTTACAAAAATAAACAGGCAACGATGCATTCAATATGCTGAACAAAAAGCAAGTGCCCCTGTTGAAATTCCTAAAACTACCCTTTACCTAGCCTAAAATCTACATTTTTCAAGAACCCTTCCAACAAAGTCTAAAGATCCTCGAACAAGTCCGGTCACTCCTTTGATCTCCTCAAAAAGCCGGCTTTTTTTGCGGAAGGTCGTAAATCATGTCAGCACGCGCCGATTTGTAGATAAGAAGCAAATACGAGGGCGCTGGTCCCGATTGTACTTGGTAATGTTTTTACAGGGGGAGTTTGAAAAAGAATGTCTTTTAAGAATATTTACGTTAATAATTTTTTGGTTTTAAAAAATTATGGAAAAACTTTTTCTGCTTAGCGATTAGCATTAAATTAATTGACGGATAATCTCAATAATTATTGTTACTCAATTAATTTCATATTATAAAATCAGCGGTAAGTGTTACTTAACATCACGTTCTGGTAGTAACTTTGATGGAATAGCAGTTTTTAATGAAGGTTTTCCTACAAGCGTGCAGAAAACGCGTTTTCAAGCACCGATTTGCGTGCGGAAAGTATCACTTTTCCGCACAGTGTGCGTGAAAAAAAAAAAACAGACCGGCGTGCGCGAGAAAAGTTTTTCCACAGTTTTTTTTTTCAATTTTTCTCCTTATGTCATGCTTCTGAAAAAATTTTTTTTTTTCGAAATTACGTTCCTCCGTTCTTTCTCTTCAACAAAGATATTAACTTTTTGTACTGACTAATATCGACAACTTCAATGAGTTTTACCTACGAACATGTGGAAAGTGCACTTTACCGCACCGATTCGCAAATGGAAAGTAGCACTTTACCGCACACCATGCGGTTGAGTTACTTTACCATATAGTGTACGGTAAAGTTAACTTCACCGCATAGTGTGTGGTGAAGTAGACTGCAAAGTGTGAGATAATAGTTATTTACCTAACAAATGCGGAAAGTGATACTTTACCGCACGCAATGGCAGTTGACCGAACGACGCGAAGCGGAGTTCGGTCAAGCCGTTAAGGGCGGTAAAGGCACTTTCCGCATATGTTAGGTACAAAATTTTACCTATGAGCATCTACATCTCCAAAAAATGGCATTAATAAAATTAATTAATGAATCAGATTACTTAATGAAATTAGATTGGATTTTAGAAATGATCAAAAATCCATTTCCTGAAAAAGAAAGGATTTTTAATCATAAATACCAAAGTCTACTTTACCGCATACTATACGGTAAAGTTAACTTTATCGCACACTTTTCAGTTCATTTTACCGCATACTATGCTGTAAAGTTAACTTTACCGCACACTATGCGGTAAAGTAACTTCACCGCATAGTGTGCGGTAAAGTGCCACTTTCCATTTGCAAATAAGTGCGGTAAAGTGCACTTTACCGCACGCTCGTAGGTAAAGTTACTTTACCGCATAGAGTGCGGTAAAGTTAATCAAAAATCCCTTCTCTTCTAGGAAAGGGATTTTTGATCATTTTTAAATTTAATCTAATTTCATTAATTAATCTGAATCGTTAATTAATTTTATTACTGCCTTTGCTTGGAGATGTAGATGCTCATAGGTAAAATGTTGTGCCTAACACATGCGGAAAGTGCCTTCACCACCCTTAACGGCTTGACCAAACTGCGCTTTGCGTGCGATAAAGTATCATTTTCCGCATTTGTTAGGTAAATAATAAATAATTAATTAAATAGTATTTTTGATACCCATTAGAATAATTCCATCCTTATTTTATCAATCACGAATTAGATGAAATAAAATATTACCAAGAAAAACGAACTTCGATTGCTAATACGTCAATAATTGATGTATTAGCAATCGATTTCATGTACAAATAGGAAATTATTTTTATTTGTGTGTTCAAGAAGCGACATACGTTTTAAAAATTCTATACTTCTTCTAATTCCTGAAAAATCAAATTTTTGACCATTTCTTTTAGGATCAGTAGATCCAAAAACAAATAAAAAAACAATATGTCAATTTCCGCACGCTCGTAGGAGAAATATTGTACCTAACGCGCGCGTAAAGAATCTTTTCCGCACTAACGGCTTGCCGCTGCGTGCAGAAAAGTATAAGTTTCCGCACTTGTTAGGTAAATAACTATTTTCGGACAAAGTGAATGAGTTTTCATTGAAGTGTGCAGAACATATTCTGACAATTCTGTTAGCCGCTTCGAGTGTTAATTTTGTTTGCTTATCTATGTTCTGCAACAAAGCCTAAAATGTCTTTTCCTACGAGCGTGCGCAAAGCAGTACTTTTCCGCACGCATTACAGTTCTCAAAGTTTCACTTTTCCGCACTCAGTGCGGATACGGGCCTTATCCGCACTGAGTGCCGAAAAGTAAAAATAATTGTCAAGCAACAATCAATGCACCTGTCGACTTTGACACATGATGACAAATTTGTTCTCTGTTTCTATATCAGCCAACAAACACTGAATATAATTAACTTTGACACATTGTCAGATTTGTGTTCCCATTTATATGCAAGAATCTACAAACTTCTTTCGCATCAAATTTAAACGCTTCAAGATGAACAGCACTGACGAGGATTTCAATTTTCTGTTTTTCTGTTATGTAATTTTTTGATGAATGAATAGGTTCGCGTCAAGTTAATTGAAAATAATTGCACAAATTATCGTTTTTTTTTTAAATTTTTGTTGTTACCTACCTGATATGAAGCTCGTAGGAAAAATTTTGTTCCTAACACGTGCGCAAAGTGTCTTTTCCGCACGCAAACACTTATCCGAACTCCGCTTCGCGTCGTTCGTATAACTGTGTTTGCGTGCGGAAAAGTAACACTTTGCGCACTTGTTAGGAAAATAACTATTCCATTGCTGACACCTTAAAAAATATATGATTGCGTTTTAATTTTATCAAATCGCAAAAATTTCGAATAAAATTTACTACACTTTTTGCTTGGCGCACCCGATATAGAACGCGATGCAAGCCACCCGGTAACTGAAGGCATAGACGAGGGTCCTCTTGAGCAGGGAAACCATAGGCTAGAAGTAGCGCGTCGGCAGGAGGGGAATTTTAGGCGACGAGCGAGAGTGAGCGGACTTGTTCGAGGATCTTTAGACTTTGCTTCCAAAGTTGTCAAAGCAACTTTGGGTCAGGTCATAAACATTGAACCTAAATAATAAAGCCATAAAACTATAAGAACTAATCCTTTTCTGGCGCCGCTGGTCACGTATTTTTTTTTCTCAGGAAATACCACGATGCTCGCACGGCCAACCTGACAC